GAAAATAAAAAAAGTGAATAATATCTCAGGTAGAATATAGCCCCCGTCCTCAACCATACAGCTTGGCTTTCGCTAAGATTAGACACTGGAATATCTACTGTCTGATAAAATCCACAGGGACAAACCTAATCATGGCACTCCAGTCTTGATTTGAACCCTCTCAAGGAATTGACAAAATGAATAATGTCAGATTTATAAGGTTTTTAATCTTTGCCGTAGGACGCATGACACTACCTTCGAGGATCATGTAGCAAAGTGGTCCCCTCACCTACTACATGACCACTTCCAGTGTGCCCTCGCTGACCGACCATCCAATTTAGCAAGTGGCAATACCCAATTCATCCCTACTTTGAGAGGGGGGTTTCCTAAAATAAGACTTTACAATAAGTGCCATTACCTACAATTTTGGACAACTCCCCTTATCTTAAAGAAGTTGTTTTTATAGAGAAAACTTCCTGATGACCTTCAAAATACACACAAACTTGGAGTTGACTTCATGTTCAGTGACTAAAACATTGTCCACATGAAATCAATCCTTATAAATCTGATGAACTTTAAAGAAATGCCAAATCTGTTTTAAATTAGAAAAATTCATGATTTTTTTTCTAGAAAGATGACAGCCACAAAAACTAGAATTAACTTTGGCATTTCCTTAAAAACATTCATTCTTTATGTCTTATATGATACACAGTTCATCAGATTATAGCCACAGTGGGGAATAAGACTTGAATTGGGAAGAGAAAATTTGGCCAGACTTCCCTCAGAGCCTAAAGAAGTCTTTTTTTCTCTTCAAACAGTTGGATAGAGAGAAAGTATCAGATAGATAAAAACACGTTCACACTTTACTTTGGTTCATCAGGAAGTGAAAAATCTAATAAGAATCAAATCAACATTTTTATTATATACAACTTAATTCTTATTAATTCAGCCTACTTTATTCTCAATCTAACCTAATACAACTTAATTCTTATTAATTCAGCCTACTTTATTCTCAATCTAACATAGTACAACTTAATTCTTAATAATTCAGCCTACTCTATTCTCAATCTAACCTAATACAACTTAATTCATATTAATTCTCTACTTTATTCTCAATCTAACCTAATACAACTTAATTCTTATTAATTCAGTCTACTTTATTCTCAATCTAACCTAATACAACTTAATTCTTATTAATTCAGCCTACTTTATTCTCAATCTAACCTAATACAACTTAATTCCTGCCTTTCATTATTCCATCAAAACTATTAATAATATATTTATCTAGAAATTTTATCAAGAAGAATATTTTTAGTTTTAACCTATTCTTTAATAAACTGTTGAGTTCAACAATAAAAAAACTTCATATTCAATTTAAGTTTTAATAATAATTGCAATGAAAATGATTTTCTAATGAGGATAAAAATAATAATGAGGAAAATAAAAATATAAAAAATGAAAAAAACATTGTGAATAATATCTCAGATAGAATATAGCACCTTGTCCTCGACTTTGGTATATCTACCGTCTGATAAAATACACAGGGCCAAATTTAACTCAAATGTTTTACTTACTTATTTTACATTAATATTGAATAATATAATAATAATAATAATAATAATAGGGATAAAAATAATAAAGAAAATAAAAAAAGTGAATAATATCTCAGGTAGAATATAGCCCCCGTCCTCAACCATACAGCTTGGCTTTCGCTAAGATTAGACACTGGAATATCTACCGTCTGATAAAATCCACAGGGACAAACCTAATCATGGCACTCCAGTCTTGATTTGAACCCTCTCAAGGAATTGACAAAATGAATAATGTCAGATTTATAAGGTTTTTAATCTTT